AGAAAAAAAGGCAATAAAAAACACACAAAAGATCATGGACGAGTGACTGGTCGAAGCACAAAATTTAATGATTCGAAACAGCCAACACAACCTATAACCAAACATAGTAAAACTCTCCCGCACAATAAATCACACGTGAAACCTAATCAATTACTTGGCATTAATGAGACGTTTGCACAATCGTCCAATAAACCAAATAATTCCGAAGAGCCTACACACTTCCAAGGGAATCGATCTCAAACCGCAAATCTCTTACCCAGGTCAATTTTACGAAAAAATTGCGACAATCAAAAACAAAACAAACGAAAAGTATCATTCGCCGAACCTTTAATTTGCTATAGTCCTTCGAAACCAAATAGATCACAGAAAGTGACTACAAAACGACAACTTGATGATCGTTCGGTTACATCTAATACTTATGTCTCAGATTTGAGAGATCTTTCGACTTTGGATATCAATGACATTTCGGAAAATAACGTTATCCTTTATATTAAAACTTTTGATGAAAAAATCACCGAGTATGCAAAAACTATTAAGGACGCGTGTTTCAGCTACTTGGTTAATGACTTACCTAGCTCGCTCAATTCTTTCGACACAAATCGACACCATCACCATCATCATGATGATAAATGTGCGATTGAAACAGGGAACGGAATGTGTCATAACGATGGCTACCAAAGGTTGCTGGACATCTACGCTCGGCTTCCATTCTCCTGGCTCAAACGCGTCATCGAATCTGAGAATCTCGGGGTAACCAGCATCATTAGATATAAACTAGCGAAAGACATCATCACCAAACGCCAAGAACTCAAAATATCCAACAAAGATGAATTTGCGTATATGTCCTTTGGAACAAATCATCACCAAAATATTACTATCGTCCAAAAACGGGGAATCAAAAAACGGTAGTCAACGCTTTCGTCTGTATACTTTTTTAGTTCGTTTCTTTTATTTGATAGCATATTCAGTAGTTCACGTTGATAATTTGTCGAAATTCTAATGTATGCTTAAATAACGATTTTCTTGAATGTATTTACATAAATAGTCCTTTCTAATCTTCAAATTGTTTACCTCAGTAAAAATAAAATACATCATTATGCAATACAATGTCGACTAATAAAAGATTATTATATTATTATATATTAATTTAATTATAAGTTTAATAGGAAATTATGATTAAGAATTAATGATGATGATGATGATGGTGAAGATGATCGATAACGGTGATAATGATATAATAATGGAACTGTCTTTTCTCTATTCAATAGAGAAAAGTTCCTCTTTTGTTAATTTAGAATTACGAATAATTATACTATTAAAGATTCATTTTGTCGATTAAATCATGGACAGAGGTGAACTTATCCTCCCTTATAATGAATGCACTAACGAATATCACTTTTTTAGAACTAGGAAATTTGTCACTACATTTAATGGCACACAAGGTGGTCCATATGGCTCTCGTTCCTATCAAATTTAGAAGCTAGGAAATTTTTCACGATATTTATCAGCACATGGTATCCCATACGGCTCTCGCTCCTCGGGATAAAGATCGAAATTACTAGTATCCCCATCACCGCTGACCTTCGGTATATACGGTGGCTGAATCTCTCGTCTTAGTAATCGATCCCAATCGACTCCTTTGAACCATGAGTGTCTTTTAATATCTTCGCTACCACCTTTAAGGTTTCCGTAACGTTTCGATAAGTCGGCAGTTAACAATCGTTTTATTAAATCCTTTGCCGCGGATTCAAAATATGCGGGATACTTTATTCGGCCGCTCAATATTTTCTCATATAATCGCATTGGATCATCGTCGTAGAATGGTGGATAGCCGGCCAACATCTCGAACATTAATATGCCAAGTGAATACCAGTCCACTGCTTTCCCATAACCTTTAGATTTTATAATTTCT